AGGAGGCGAGGCTGGGGAAGGCGGGGGCTGTGCCGCCGAAGAGGGCAAGAGAACCACCTTCCAGGTGAGCCGCGCGGTGGTTTTCCGCCGACGCTACGCTTGCTTGGGAATTCCTCCAGCCTCTGGGAAGCAGAAGTGGGAACGGGGGCTTCTTCGAAACACCGCGGAAGAACCTGCGGTTAACAGGGCGCTTCGCGACCGAACCGAAGCTGGTTGCCCGTCTTCGCCTAGTGCGGTGTTTCTCAACCTCCGCGACTGAAAGATATGGTGAACTTCAACTCCCAGAATTCCCCAGCTGGCATGGAGTTGAATTCTGGGAGTTGAAGTCCACACATTTTAAATTCGCTGAGGTTGAGAAACACCGCGCTATGGGCGAGGCCTAGCGTTTAAATCAGTCAACGAGTATGGCGGCATGTGAACATACCCAGAATGTAGTGTGTTTGTCTCCGTCTCCCTCTCCCCGCAATCACAGAGGCGTGGAATTTAACAGTATTTGTATTTACAAAAGCTGTTGCGATTAAGATGCTGCAGTAGACCCTCTTTTATACCCACGTTCTTCTGACTTCACTTTTTTGAGTTTAGTACTGAGAATTCTGCTTACTAGCATTTTCTCTGGGGTGGCAATATGTGTGATAACTTGGCAGCTGGATGAGAAATAGGGGTAAAAGGTTTCTTGCAGGTGGCAACATAAAATGGATATATTTGGTCGTGGGAGTAGCATAAAACGGTATTTGGCCAGGAAAAAAAACATGAAGTGCACTTAAAACTTGGAGAACGTGCCTTTTCCTTGCACGTGTGGTTGTTGTAGAACAAGGCATATATACGGTGAATAGATTGTTATGAAGCTATCATTTCTAACAGAGCTTCCTGCCTCAACTAAACATTAGCAACCCTTTTTAGGATTCAGTTTATTAGCAACTTTCTCCCAGAGGTCTTACCTGTTTCTGGAATACTAGCTGTGATTTCCAAGCATGACTCATAACATAGGTGTAAAAAGGAGAAATCTTGTCTGGACTCAAGTTCAGGTCGTAAATGTTTCCTGTTTAAGATAGTTGCATATTCTACTTATTCTGAATCAGTTCTTTTAATATGAATATTATAATTGATTTCACCTTATTCTAAGGCTTGGTGCATTGTATGGTTTACTTGGATTTGGCTTAGCGTGTTATGTTAATGCTTGCTGGTTCAGCTGTGATTAAGTAAACCATGATTAGTAAGATGTGGGAACCCTGGCTCTAGTTTCAGAGGAGGATCCTGGAAATTACAAATTGAATTCTGGCTGCCAATAATGCAAGAATTGCTAAGGGTCTTCTTCATACCCTGCTTAAATCTAAACTTCTATAAACGTTAATCCAAGGTATGTAGTCTTAAATAATTCAGTAGTATACATGAAAAGGACCTTGCAGAGTGGCCAGCATAGGATGGTAGAAACAAGGACAAATTATCATAGTGGTGCAATATTGCATGCGAAACTTCATTGGATTCATTCATTAGATCTACTTTTAAAGCTTCCCCTCTATTTTGTTTTCTTAAACCAGTGTTGTCCAAAGTTGGCCCCTTTTTTAATAGTGGGGTTCTATTTTCCGAAAAACCCCCACACAGAAATCGTGGCGGGGGGGGAGGTGGG